GGGAGTCCTGGGGGAGGTGATGCCCTTAAAGTAGGCGAGTTAATTACACCGGCACAGCTCAGCTTGGGAATTGGGAACTCATCTCTGGCCAACTGTTTAATTTTTATTTTTTAAATGAAGTATTTTAAAAAAAATTGCCTAATTAATTTCCTATAAAACCAAATTAATATAGACACGAGCTGCTTAGCTGAAATAACCAGGCAAATGAAAGCTGACTGGAGAGCTCCTTATGGGCCTGTATAGGACATTTTTATATTTGCAGTGCTCTGAGGAATTCATGCTTTGTGGGCACCTGTAATCAGCCCAGCAGCAGGAGGGCTCGTGCAGGCTGTGCTTTCGCTGCCGTAAGGAGGTGTTTTCTGCTGCAATGATTAGTTCAATGTCAACAAGACCCTTCAGTTTTAACTTTGATGTAGTCAAGGTAAAGTCAAAATGTGTTTGAGGTGGAGGAGTGGGGAAGGGACTGATGCTAAAAGTGTACATGAGCTGAAAAAGGCAAGCTGATAAATTTGGGACAGAAAAATGTTAAGTGTGTTAAATACAGCGCTATAGCCTGGCTCAGGAAGTGCATGATCCAGGAATCTCTGGAGGCTGGGAGGGTATTCTGGAAAAGTATTGCTGTGTTGTGCTCTGTTCTTACACTCTTCTTTGAGCACTGAACCTTCGGCATGACCTGCTACAACTGTGCTCTGTTATTAAGGTAAACATACGTGACGTTCATGTTGCTGTTCTGCTGAGAAAACTGGCCTTCTTTCACAGAAGAGCCTGAAATTCTTTGAAGAGCATCATGTCAAAGGGCTGCGTCTGTGTACTGCTGTCAGCCAGGGCTAGATATGGCACGTGCCAACGTGGCAACCTTCTGCCATTGCAGCCGCCAGTTGTAGTTGGTGCTGAATGTGCTGGTTATTGGGTCAGAAACCCCTCCCGCTGCTGTTCTGCTGCTGCTTCAGGAAGGCGTGCCTGCCGCAGGATCCACGGCTGTGTGGCTTGCTAGGGTGGCACGGAAGGGTGATTACCTCTACCCAGCCTGCGCCTGAGGCATGTGCTGCCACACAGCCAGCTGCAGCCAACCTTCGTCTTCCAGGCTGAGAAGTGGGAACTGTCCAGTGGGAAAGATCCTGCTCGCTTTGCTGTCTTGTGGTTGCTCTGCAGGGATGTGGGGCCAGGTCACCAGCATGACCCTGCTGCTGTTCCCTTCACTCACACCCCACCAGAAGACTTCTCCCTCGCAGACTGAGGTCATGTTCTCAGGTGCCTCGTTCTCTGGCTGCAGAGTCCAAGTCTCATCATGGAGACGGCAGAAGCAGCGCTACGTCAGAGCTGCAGGCAGAGATGTGCTCAGTTCTGCATCTCCTGAAATGCTCCTGGCCCCGTGCAAAGGGTTGGCTTGCTGCAGGGCAGCGCTCCTTCCTTGCAGCGCTCCCCTTAGCTTCTGTGCCAAGGGCAGCCAGGTGGACTCAGATTTAATGAGGCTTTGTTTCACATGATTTCCTCCATCATAGGAAAGGAACAAACAGGTGGAGGGTTTTTAAAGCAGGCCATAGAGTATTGATAAGAACTCCCTTTTAATTCTTAATTCAAGTAAAAAGCAGAATCTTGGAGTGGGAAGTTTCCTTTCTGTAACGCTAAGTATTGTGCTTCTCCTTTATTCTGTATGCAATGTACTTGCAGCAGGGCCAAGAGCTGTGGGTTTCTCTTGCTCTCACTGCTAGACACTGGCTGCTTTTGCCCTTTGTTAGCTTGTTGAGAGGAGTAGAGGACAGGGAGGGGATGGCTCAGTGAGGTAGGTGCTAACTGGAGCATTTTTGAGGGAGAATGCAGTGGAGGCTGACTGCAAGAGGGGGATGTTTCACCACAGCCCATAGAAATGACTCCCTAGGCTGGCGTGGTTTTGCGATCTTAGTGTTTCTGATTAGGCTGATTGCACTGTACTTCTTGTCCTGTACAGAGATAAGAGGGAGGATGCTTAATGCCTTCCAGATACTGGTACCATTTCTCTGGCATTGTTCCTGTGGCCATGCAAGATATTCCTTTCCCGCCAGTCCTGGCAGTTCTCCTGTTTCTGCCCCAGCAGACTGTGGCCTGCAGTTCCATGTCATTCTTGTTTCCTTCTCTGAGGTAGTTGTGTCAAACCACACCAGGCTTTTTTCAGAAGCAAAGGTGCAAAGCCACCTGCAATGCCATTTTACATCAGAAGGAGCAGCAGATACCCAATGCTGCCAAAAGAAAATGCTCCTGTAAATATTTTAGGGAATAGTCTATCTGAGGACTGTTCGGTGATATGATAGATCTCTAGGCTGTGTTTTGTTTTCCTTCTCTCTTTTCAGATGCTGCTCAGGGAATGGTGAATGGAAAGCATATGCTGAGTAACAAGAGGCAAAAGAGCATGACATTGCTTGTTTTTGTTCAGTCCTGCTGGGAAAAGTGCACTGTGGTATGAGGCTGGAGAATGTGTTTAGGTCTCTCCTGAGAAAAATTGTTAGCTGATGTGCTCTATTCTGACTTGCCTTCAGCTCTGTTAGAGCAGATAAAGCTCTGCAGAGGAGGGGCAGATGTATTCAGCACTGCTTTCTACCCTGAAAGCACAGCTGCTGGCAAAGCAAACTCCTCTGCCCTGACCGTGGTATGGGGCTCATCTCCAGCTCTAGGTTTTATGCTAAACATGCCACAGCTGCCAAGCACTGGTCACGTCAGCATAGTTGAGTGCATTCAGCCTCGCCAGTGGACGCTGAGTGTGTGGGCTGTGCTATTCTTCAGGTGTACGTGAGTGGGAGGGAAGAGTACGTGGTATATCTGAAGATTAATTTAATATATGCATTTGTGTGGGGGGCTATATGTGCATATAATCCTGTAAGAACACATCAGAGGCTTGGAAAATCTCTGGAAAATCGCAGGTCAGCCATTCTGTGTGAAATTGTAGCTTCTCTCTGCTTCTAACACTGGCCCAGGGGCAGGAGCCTCCGTATTCTTTTGCTGTTGATGCTTGATTGCTCCCCTGTGTGTGAGCTGCTGTGGGACATGTGCATGGACCGCGTTCTCTCCTTGCTTGAGACTGTGAAGAAGATGAAAAGAACAGGAGGTGTTCTGGGACAAAATGGAAATGCAAACCCACAGCATGCTCTGGCACTGAGCAGAATGGGGAAAGTAGTTGGTAAATTGAAGATGCCAGGGTTCAAGGATTTCTTCTAGGGATGATCCCTTTCAAAAGTGATCACCTTAACTAATGTAGTAAAGGTTTAAAAAATTGTGTGACGCTTCTGTCTGTCCTTCCTGTCTCAACCCTCTTTCTCTGCCAAACCTTTCCTGCAGCCTCCCATCTCCTCCATGCTTCACTTTGCTGTACAGTCGGACTGTGCTGCTGAGCATTATGCTGAATTTTTAGAGCCTTCACCCTTTTTATACATCTTTCCTCTTGCACCAAAAGAAATCTGTGCTTCATGTGGAATTCCTCCTTTTCTCTCCTGCCTGTTGTAAGCACTGAGTTTTCAGACTCTCTCCAGAAATTGGATGGTCAGAGAGGAGGGAACTGGTTCATTTTTTTTAACCGTTTTGGCTCTCAAGGCTGAAATGGAGTTTGGGAGGAGATAGCTGTCAGTTCTCTAACACAGGTTAGTGTTTCTGTGCTGGGGGGGTGAGTGCAGCGTGTGGCACATGTGAGCCTAGCGTAAGGAGAGATCGATCGATTTGCACAAGCTGCGTGCCTGCCTGTGTAAGAGGGCCAAGGCCATGCAGCCTGTGATGCCTCTGTGCCTGGCACAGAAGCAGAAAGCTCTGTGTGTCAGCAGTAGATAGCAAGTGTAGGTGCAGCACGCTGAACCACGGGCACTGCTGGGGTAAGTGTGCTGTGGATTGAGACTGGAACATGTGTTTTCTTGGGAACTACTGCACAGTTGGCAGGTGATATACCTTGCCTGCTATTGTATCTGCTTTGTGTTTGCCAAACAGCATTAAACACGTTATCTCTGCCCAGCAGGTATGGTTTCAAAGCTGGCAAGTGTCTGTTCTGGCGAAGGTAAGTATTAATACCTGGAAATTTATGCATTAGGGCTTGTGAGACACGTGGTCTGCTGGAGGGCAAATCCAGCTGGAGAAAAGCTCAGTGCATCAAGACTAGTTTTGCCTCCACTGAAATCTTTTGACTGCATCTGTCCCTTGGTGCTTTCCGTTCTTCTGAGCTGCTGGCAGGACTCAGAACTGCTTAACTGCAAAGTCTCTTTTGGGGATACATTTCTCCCATGAGCAAGCGGAAGTTGGCTCTTGCTACCTTTACGAATGAGTTCACAGTGAAATTGTCATTGAACACAGGAATCACTGGTGTGACCATGCTGGTTACAGGAGCCGCAGTAGGAGATCTGCTGCAAGAGGTGCCGTCTTAAACATCAGAGAATGCAAACAAGCTGCTATTGTAGGCTGTAGTTATAAATATCAGGCTATTATGGAGGCAGTTTTAATGAACGAAATGACTTGCCACTGTTCATGCTGATTGTCGTGTGGGTTTTTGTTTGTTACCCCATTAAGAGGTAAAAAAAAGCAACTGTAGCTGCTTTGTGTTCTTTAGATTGGCTTTCTCTGTCAGTACTGCAGCGTTGGGGCTCTAGAGGTGATGGGGCAGAGATTATTCTTACAAACAATGCTCTTTAGTTTGAAATGAAAAATCAGAACTGACAAAGAGTTTTTGGCTTGTTTTCAGAGTACCATAAAATCTAAACTTCCAGCCTTGTCTTCAAGGTATTTGAAAGTATTTATTGGCTTATATTTTATGAGAATGATGGTATGTTTTTATCACTGTCTACGGGCGAGAGTCTGTCTGCTTCCACCCTGTGCAACGCCAGCAGATCACCTCTGTTTTGCTTGCCAGAAGAGTGGCCCTTCCAGATGGATAATAAGGCTGTACCAAGCACTGCCTTGTGCTTTCTTGAGGGTGGTGTGGCAGCTGTGCTCAGTGCTGGTGTTTGTTTCTTACAGGTGTGATCCCTGCCTCTCCTCCCCAGCCTGGTGCCATGGCTGACACGATTTTTGGCAGCGGGATGGGCCAGTGGGTGTGCCCCAACGACCGGCAGCTGGCACTGCGTGCCAAGTGAGTCCTCATCACCCTTCTTCTCTCCTTCCAGCCTCAGCTCTGGTCTGAATGGTTTCCTGGTATCTCTGTGGAGTGCTGGCCCACTGGCCTTGTCCATAGCCCAGTTGGGAGGCAGGAGTTTGCCCATCATGCAGACCCCTCTGTACCCTAGAAGTGTGCTGCTTGGGTGGGACAGGAGCCTGCTAAGCTGGGGCTTGGTGCTTGGCTGCTGCTCGGAGCTGCCAGCCTGCAGTGGAGTTCACAGCGTGGCTGGTGTGTGGTGGGAGTCCATCCCACCAGCCCTCCCCTGGGTGAAAGGAAGGGCTTTGGAGGCAGGCTCATATCTCTGCAGCACCCTAAATATAATTGAAAGCATCCCCCAGCTGCCAGCACTCTTTTGTTTTAGGAACCTGTCATTTGATCTCATTTTCCCCTGAAGTTAAATTACTGCATAACCTAAAGACAAATGGGATGGAGATGAGTCAAGCACTAGAACTGCATTTGTTTCTTGGATGCTTTCCTTCTTTGGCAGCCAGTACCATGCCACTGCCACCTCTGCTCTTGTCTGAACCTTTGAGGTCAGCCTGCTGCAGAGTGTTAGAAAATAGGAGGTCACCCGGTGTCTGAGGGGACTACCTGACTGTGAACAGTGCACACCACTGCCACTTCTCCAGCCTTCGCCTAAAAGCCTCATTAAGACAGCTGTGTCTGATAGTGCCCTGCATTCTGCTAGCAGCTGTGACTTTATCCAGTGACCTCTAAACCCCTACTGAATGGTAATTAATTGAGCTGTGAAAGCTCCCGTCTGTCCCCAAGTGAGCTAAGGAGAAATGCTAGCTGCTGTATGTGAGGCACGGAGGGAAGTGGCTTGCTAAAGTCCTCATGTGGGCCTGGATTAGGCCAGGGGAAGAAGTTGCCAAATTTATATTTCCAAGCATGCCTGGTGATTTGTGTGTTTGAACTGAGGACCTTAGAGATGTGTGATCAGGAGGGAGGAGGGTGCAGGTAATCCCTGTGTTCAGGAGCCTGCTGTTGGCATTTGTCGTGTCTGGCATCAGCACCCATCTCCGCAAGTGTACTTTCAGGATAGCCAGCCCTAGGTGCACTAGTTTTCTTCATGGGCAGAGCCAAACAGGAGTGAGGACATGGAGTGGTAAAATACAAACTAGAGCAGAAAGGGAAATGAGAGGGCAGGGAGAGACAGCGCAGCACTCGGTCCTGCTGGAGGAGTGATGCGGTGATCTGGTCAGTGAGAAGAAACTCCTGCTTTGGGTGTTAGCCAGGGAACAGACTTCTCTGATGGAAGGCTGACGTGGGCTCTGTATGCCTGGTGGGTTTGGCCTGTGGGGCAGGGCAGGGGTTTTGTGCTTTCCTTTCAGAGCTTAATTTTTCCCTCCCCCCCCCCCCCCAGGCTCCAGACGGGCTGGTCAGTGCACACGTTCCAGACTGAGAAGCAGAGGAAGATGCAGGCTCTGAGCCCGCAGGAACTTGAGGTCATCCTGGAAGTCATCCGCAAGGCGGAGAAATTGGACATCATCGAGCAGCAGCGCATCGGGTACAGTCACGTTCATTTGTCCCCTTTCCTCAGAAGGAAAGGTCAGTGCAGACAGAGGAGTGGCTCTCCCGGCTGCCTGAGCTCAGCCTCCATCAGTCAGAGCATCCCTTAGGTCAGTTATTTTTCCCTCCCATGTTGCTTGTTTGGAGGTAATGAACATTGGGAAGGATGTGATGTTTTCCTTCTCTCTCTGTCTCAAGCCTTTCTCGTGCCTTCTTTGAGCCTTGGAGCTTGCTGTGGTTGCAGCCACTGACACAGTCCCTGGTAAATGCAGCCTGTGCTAAGGCAGCTGTCCCAGTGGCTCTGGAAGAGGCTGGGGAAGATGCCGAGCTGTGCAGCTGCACCCACTGCTAGTGGGCAGCGTGGCTCTGAAACTGCTGCTGGCAGTGCAGTTAGCTTTTCCCTTGTCTGCGGCAGCCCCCTGGGATTTTGCTTGGAGCAGTGAATGAGTTTATGTTCTAGTTGGCTGAGCCCTCTGGAAGGGGTTTGCTAGCTTGACTTATTTAATTTATGGGCATCCTTTTGCTGCTGCAGATTTCCATTTGCTTTCAGGCCTGCTGGAGGTCTGGCCTCAGCTGCGTCTGTGGTCATCTTACACTGACTGCTTTTAAAGCTGGGGAATTCAGCAGTCCTGCAGCATTTCCCAGCAGTGTTTCATGTTCTCGAGACAGGAAACCCCAGTGGCTCCCAGCCCGTGTCCAGCAGGACCAGCTTCCTGCCCCTGCGCTTCACTCTGTCCCTGTGCAGTGCACGTCAGTGAGTGCTAACGAGAACTGGCAGTGATGTTTGTGTGATATATGGGAGACCCCAGAAGCAGCCAGCAACCCCGAGGGGCTTATCGTTCCTGTGCAGTTGTTGGTGTAGCCGCAGAAAGCGATAGTCTTGCTGTTCCCGTGCTGAAACATTCTCTGAAATGCCTTTGTTAACTCCTGGGAGTTCTCTTGTGCTGAAGTCAAGGATCATAAATCCACTAATGATGGCTCAGCCTGGCTGTGCTGTCTGACCTCATCACCATAGGCAGTACCTCTTTCAAACAGACCTTGCCTCCTCTCAGTACGGGACTTGGTTGATGGGACATTAGCGCTAATGAGAATGGGGTTGCATGGGTAGCAAGATTGCGCTTCATCCCTGAGCCGCATGCACACGCATGGCTGCAGCTGGTCGCTGCCTCTGATAAATGACCTGGCTGTTATCTTCCCCATCTACAAATGGATGCCTGAGGATTGCCAGGCAGTGATCTCATGACAGCAACCTTGCTCTGCATGCTGTCCACATCCTGCATCCTAATTGCTTATCCTGCCTTCATTCCCTTTTGTAGTCCTGCTGCTACAGACATTGTGCATACATATGTGCTTCCTGTCTTCCAAGCGGGCTGTCGAACGAAGCGGGGAGCAGTTACTGGCATTCCTGTGCTGCAGCTGGGCTCATTTTGGTCTGACGGCTTCAGTCTCGCATTCCTGCTTCTAATGGGGTGTGGGCAAGTCATGTGCCTGCAGTGCTGCTTTCAGGGAGTATATGTAAAAATGGAGCAGGGTTTGGCAGGTCTAACTTCTCTGCCCTTTCCTGGTGCTGTTTGACTTGCCCTGATCCGAGCGCTAAAGGCTTTTCCTACTCTACAGGCAGGAACTCATTGTGCTGAGGCTGTGTGGCCCCAGTGACATTGAGCTCCTGAAGGGTGTAGGATCAAGCCCCTCTTGTGAGCTGTCTGCCCTGCACCCACTAGCTGAGTCAGGCCTCTCAGTGGTATTTGCAGTTTTGATTATTCTGGGCTTGGTGAGCATCAGTAGATGGACTTAGGTTTGTATCCCCTGAAGACCAAGAGCCAGCTAATAGGAAACACTGAGTGCAGAGACTGAAGTGAAAGTACATATGGTCCCAGCAAGGGGCCCAAAACTGCACAGAAGAAGCAAAGGTAGGCTTAGTCTGGAGCACACGTCTGCAGGTTTTTGGCATGCCTCAGTACCATGTGCTTCAATTTCCAAGGTGAGTGCTGTGACCTCTGCTCTGCCTCTTCGCCTGCAGGCGCCTGGTGGAGCGGCTGGAGAACATGAGAAAGAATGCGATGGGGAATGGCCTCTCGCAGTGTCTGCTCTGCGGTGAACTGCTCGGGCTGCTGGGGAGCACGTCAGTCTTTTGTCAGGATTGCAAAAAGGTGGGTTTGGTCACACAGGTTCCTGCCTGTTGCTGGTAGCAGATCTGTCTAGGAAAGGCTACCAGGCCTCTTGGAAGCTAGATAGCTCTGCGGAGTTAACTTACCTTAGCCCCACTTGTCTAGGTTGGTGCTGTCAGACCATCAGGTTTTCTCTTGCACCGTGGTTATCGTATTCCTCAGGATCCTGAAGTGCCTAAACTGCACTTAGTGCTGAGATGGAGTGCATCAGCCCTCTATGCGTCTCCTACTCTGGGTTTACAGAGTGGGAGAAGGGGCAGAAATGTATGGCCATCAGAGGCAATTCATAAAAGAGTCTGTGTGCTTTACTGTTATTTACTGCAAGGTCTGCCCTTAGGCCTTCCAGTAACACCTGTCTTCAGAGGACTCAAGTCCATCTTCAAGTTCCAAATCAGTGTAAGGTTTCCAACTTTGATACATAAATTAGACTGTGCATCAATGACTGCCTGTGTTTATGTATGTTGTTGGCAGGAGACTGCACGGGTGCTGTTTGAAAGGCAGCATCAGTTTTCAGGGAGACTGCTGTTCTGCCAGCGCCCTGGGAGATGATTGTTGCTTGCCTAGACTCTGCAGCCAAGGGGTTAACCTGTATTGCTGTGGAGATGATGATCTCCAAGGCAACCACCTTATCCTCCCTCTGCTGGGAGGCTGTTTTTCCTGCACTTGAAGCCCATCTTTCCCTGGGGAGATACCTCAGTAAGTGACTTTGCCTCAGCATGTTGCCTGGGGAGAGGTGAGGGTACCTGCTGGGTGCAGGAGTGTTTCTGACTTGCTGGTAGTAGGGTGGAACAGAGCAGCCTGTGCTGACTCTGTCCCTGGTGGGTACCAGAGCCAAGGAGACACTTGCCGCTATCACCCACCCTGTCACTGAGGAGATGTCCCGTGGAGCCCACAGGACAGCACTGAGTAAAACCTGCTCTTTTACTGTGGAGTGGTGCCTGTTGGCACCTCTGTGGTTAAGCAGCCATGCAGGCCACGACGGAGAACCTTTAGTGCTGGCACTGCTGGAGTTTGTGAGATGCAGTTCTCATGCAGAGCAGGCTGCCGGGCTGGGTCTGCACTGGTCCACGGTTGGCTGCAGCGCTGCTGGGCTTAGAGCTCTTGTAAGAGAAGAGCGGGAAGGGAGGTGGGTGCCCCTTGCAGTCAGAACCGAGGTCCCAGCATCCCTCCATATGTGCTTGCTAGGCAGGGAGCTGCTGTGAGCTGTGCTGCCGTTGCTGTTGAGTGAGTTTCTCCACTGGATCCAATTTGCAGAAGTAGCTTGACTGAGGCAGGGGTTATACAGAAGATTGCTTGTAAGGCAGCGACTGGGAAAGTAAATGCAAATCTTTGAACGCCTGGGTCCTAAGCCAAGGAGAAAGTAGCTTTTTAGGAAGGGGTGGGGAAGGAAGCAGCAGTGAGGTACTGGGAAGTGAAAGGTCTGGTTTGAATGGGAGCTACAGGGCAGCTCTCTTGGAGAGGAGCTTGGGCTCTGTGCACATGCGCCTGTGGAGAGTAAAGGTCTGGGTGGCAGACAGGAGATGGCTAGCTGTTTCCTGCATTTCAAGCACGCGGAATAACAGGATATGCTGTATTCTTGCCTTCTTCCCTTGGCGATTCTGCTCTTACCTTGTCCAAAGCCAGCTAGGTCACATTGCCACAGTGCTTTCTAACCTCCTTCCTGTGACCCCTGTATGCTAGTGAGGAGGCAAAAGCTGATTCAGACACTTCCCTGCCCTGTCCATTTGCAGTTGCAGGTAGTAACCCCCCAGCTAGCGAGGCTCTGTGAGCCTGAGGGTCCAGGAGGGCTGTGACCAGAAAACCCCAGAGAGGGGCTGTTTTTTTTTTTTTTTTATGGTTATTCCCTTTTTGTCTGGAGTCTGTTGGGCAGTTCAGGCGCATTCATATCCAAGTTGATTTAAGGTGAGACCCTACTTTTCCAGTGTGCATTTTGCAGCTGCTTTCAGCTTGGCTGCACTTTTCAGCTGTGTGCAAGCTCAGGGCAATGCTGGCTGGGTGCCCTGGTCTTCTCCCCTTATTGCTTTTTAATGTTGTGGAGTGAACTCAGGGAACAGTCAACCCTTCGGCAGAGTACACAGAGTGGACTGTTACTTTAAGCTTGTTCCCTCTCGTCCAAGGATATCCATCACTCGTGCAGTCCTGTATGCAATAAGCGATGACTTGTCGGGGAATTATGCATTTTTAAAGTTCATATTTTTTCTTGCTAGCGTTGCTCTGTTACCATCTCATTGCAGCCTGTTTAATTCAATAACAGGAATTGTTGTAATGATGTATCTGAAACGTAGCAAAGAACTTACCTTCAGCAAGTCCCTTCTGCTGAATCGAGGTTCTATATTTCTTGTAGCCTGATGGATTTTCTGAGTGCCACTTTCTGTTTTATGAAGAATGTTTTTAATATTAGTTTTTATTATCTTAGAAATAAATGCATTATGGCAAGACAAAGATGTATGCAAATGGAGATGTGTTAACAATAGCAGTAGTTAGACAAAGCATAATGTGTCATTAACCATGCAGAGGGTATCAGTATCATATATAAAAGGTGAAGTATAAGTAGAAGAAGGTGCTTTATCCTGTATTTAATGAGGAATAGGGCAGCGTCTAATGTCCTTGATTTTTATGTCTTCTTCTGAGGGGTTGTGAGTGATGCTCAATTTTCCAGCTAGTCTGCAGAGAAGGGGAGGAGGAAAGCCCTGTTTTGTATTGGAACTTTCAAAATTTATGGCTAGGAATAAAATAGCTTGGAAACTTCCACTAGAGGGAGTGTTTGAATCTGCTATACGTGTGGGGATTGGGATCTTTGAGGGTATTTAAGACTGAGTTGCTCCCTCAGATATTGGTTTGAGGGAGGGAGAATTTGGGGTAATTCAGGTGGTGTCTGCTAATTGCATCTGCAGTCCCCCTTGGCTTGGGTAGCACCATGTTGAGTATTGATGCACCAGACCCAATAGGTTGTTTCTTATTTCTCTGGGAGGATGAGGGTGAGGACAGCAACAGAGAGATGGAGAGGAGCACCAACCTCTGTGGGTGCTGCCTCCTGCTTTCTGTGCAGCATGAGTCAGGGACAGACCTGCCTCTGGACTACACTGATGAAAATAGCTGGGTGCATTTATTCATGCAATGAAGCCATTGCCTCAGGTACCGTCGTTCTGCCACTCTCCTCCTCCAGGTGTGGGCACTGAGGGCTAAGTAAGCCACTGAGACTTTCGTCCCTGGACACAGACCTTCTGGCTCAGAGGAGGAGCAGCCTGGTTAGGGGGATATATAAAACCTTAGCTGGGGAGATTAAATTCACATGTCTTTCTAAGCAAGGTTTTGCTCTCCAGGGCCCTCTTGTGAATGGCTTTCGCTCTGTGAGGATCAAAGAATTCATCCAATTTCTCATTCAAGCTGTAAGCCAAGCCTGATACACATCAGCTTCATTATATAATATTAGGTGATTCAGGTTGTAAATGGCTTGTAATGCCAGCGGAGACATGAAAGTTCCCTTGTGCAGCAATAGAGGCCGTGTGGCTCTATCAAACATTCTGCTCAGGAAATGTGCACGTAGGCATGGTTGTGCCCGCTTCCTAAGCAGCCACAAATCAATAACTGCTGAGTGCGTGCTGCAATGGAGGGGAAGCTGTGGCATATCAGACTGCCTATGTGAGGGGAGAATTTCCAGTCATGCACAAACTTGTGCTTGTTTTGTAGTTGGTTTCAGCTGCTTTCCATGCCACAGTGATTGGGTTTTAGGATTTAGAGGAATTTAACAAACCACTCTGGAAATATGCCTATTGGTCATGGGGTTTGATTTGCCCTGTCCGGTTCTCTTCTCTCCCTGGAGTCAAGGACCATGCTGTAGATTTGCCTTTGTCTCATGTCCATATGGACCTGAAGCAGCTTCCTGCAATCAGTGGTTCTCCAGGATAAGTTAGAAAATTGTGCCCTGTTTAGGTTTTTAAGGAAAGCAAAACAGCACTGTTGGGACAGATGCTTCTCGACTTTCTCTCTCCAAAGGGCTATATGACTGTGGGGAGTTGCTAATGCCACCTTTTTTTCCCCTTTTTTTCTCTCTCCTTGTTTCAGAAAGTGTGCACCAAGTGCGGAATAGAAACCTTTGGAGCCCAGAAACGTCCTCTTTGGTTGTGCAAGATCTGCAGTGAACAGAGAGAGGTAAAATACAGCTGTGGAGAGATGGGGCTCAGCAGCATGCACCTACCTGCCCCAAGTCTGTGCTGAGTGTGTGTGGGCTCTTCCTCGTGCTTGGGCACTTGGAGGGGAGCTTGGGATGGAGTCTGGGAGCTTTGGCTGGAGGCCAGGCAGGCTCAGTGAATACACACAATGGTGACAACTTTGGTTTATGAGGAGGTGGAGGGGAAAAAACCACACGAGCCCCTGCAGCCTGTATGCCTTTGTGGAATTTTTGTAGCTATGGTCATAAAGAGACTGTTACCTTCTGCTGCTGTGCTCTTTCCCTCCTAGCTCTGTGGCAAATAAACTTGGCTAACACTGGTTCTTTAATACAGCTGGAGAGATCTAGAGTATAGCTGCAGTATTTGTCCCTCTAAAAATAACTACGATTGCAGCTTTTAAGTCTGTTTTCCTCCCTGCCTGCAAATTCCCATAACTTGCCAGTGTGTGAGAATCCTAATGCAGGTCTCTAAATTTTTATATCCTTCATCCTTGACTTTACACTGCAAAAAGTAATGGCCTACCTCAATTCTTGTCTGCCAGCCAGCATCCACCAACATCAGGGCTCACTGCTCTACAGTGAAGTGAAGTCAGTGAATTTGTTCTGTGATTACAGAAGGATTTTCATTTGTTCCCATCAATTTATTTTGGGCTTTTGCTTGTGGTCCTTGAACATCAATCCAGTGCAGCTATTTCTGACCACTGCAACCAACTGTGAAACCTGGATGCTCTGCTAAATCAATTTTTGAAGTGTAGTGAGAGCATTTGTGCAGGTGTTTGAGATGCTGAAATTTTTTTTAGACTAGTTGTGGAAACTTAACATTGCTTAGGTTTTACATAGGAGGGGTTGGTTTGTGTGGGAGCACTTGCAAAGTTTGTGTTCAGGTAAGATGAGGGGTACATGGATGCTGCTGGTCTTTCACTTTTGAGCAGCATTGTGGGTGTGGGTAGGGCAGGCAGAGAGCATTCCAGCTCCCTGGATATTGCTAATAATTTGATAAACTGAATCACCCAGATGTTTTGAATACCAGATGGAGGTCCCAAAATGGAGAGTGAGGCAGGTCAAAAGACTTTCTGTGTTCTGCAGGGAGATGGTTATGGGACTAAAATTGACTTTATTTCTTTGATTCTGTTCTTTCTGTATTTTTTTTTCTTATCTCACAGTGTACAATTGGGGTTTTTTCCTATTTCTTATAAAAATAATGAGGAGCTGTGGTCACTGGACAAAGAAGAATACTAACCTGTCCAGTAAGCCTTACGTGTGGCCAGTGTGTGAGGGTACAGTAACCTTCAGAGCTCATTCTCTCTGTGAAACCTGAGATACAGCCAAAGTGCTTCCCTAACAAAAATGGATGGAACTTTCCTTCTTAAACTAAAAAATAGCCTCATCTTACCTCCCAACCCTAAGCTTCATCTTTATTTTTTGATCCTTTTTTAAGGTCAGTTCAGGTCTGTCTCCTTTCTTGTTTGTGGGGGTGCTGGTGCCTTGACAGGAGAAGGTTGGAAGGGTCACAGCGTGGACACGCAGCCAGGCATCAAGTCATATATCCCCTCCGTCTTCCCACTTGCTCTACTTTTATTTTGGGGGAAAGTAGGGAAGCATTGAGAATTAGCAGAAGCCTTGAAGCATGTCAGCCAGGGTAAGGAAGCTGAGACAATATCAGAATAAATGCCTGGAAGGTGGCTTTGATCAGGTCTTCCTTAAGAGTCTGTGTGAGGAAGAGGATGAGGTTCTTAGGCCTCAGGCTGATAGCTGGTACTAGTGCAGTCCCTGAAGCTGGTTCGGGTGTCATGATATTACAGGGCATGCACTAAATTACCAAGTTTCTTTTTAAGGGCTTGTGTTCACAACCAGTTCCTTGTTGCCGTCTGTTTCCGTGATCTGGATATATCTTGTATTGCCATCTGCTCTGGACCAAACCCATTTGGCCATGCTCTTTGCTGAAGGTTATATTTGCTATCAATGAGTGCAGATGGATGCCTGCTCTTTGGGATCAGATATTCTCATTTCTGTCTAACCTCTGAATTCCGTGCATGGCAAGTAGGTATCAGCCCGATTTTATTTCCTGGTATCCAGGCAGGGAGCTTCAGAAATGCACCGAAGCACTTTGGGTCGTGTGATGCAGTAACAAGTCAATAGCACCCTTCTCTCCCCTTCTCAATGCACAGTGTGACTGAGCAAGGTTCTCCTTTAACCCATACCAACAAAACACATGCTTAAAGTAGGATTGTCCCAGGCCACGGATCTCTGGCAACACCTCCCAAATTGTCAGGCCCCTAAACTTGACCAGCTCTAGTGGGTGAGTGTTTGATGCTGGTCTGGAGTGCTCCCCTCAGCACTGAGGTGAGATGGGGTGTTTCCAAGCTAGGTGATTCCCTCCGCATCAGCGCTTTGATCGCCATCTAATTTTCTGAACCAGTGCTCAAGCTATTTTGGCATGATATTTATGAAGTTCTCAACTCTGTTAGCGAGAGACTGTCAGGCACTGAAGTGAGAGAGGGAGGTCATTTGGTAATGCATGGACTAAATGATGTTGGCTAGAGTTAGTAAGTGTCATGTGGCTGGGACAAGAGCCTAGGTTGTCCCCTTTAGCGTCTGCCACACACTGAGTGAGCATGTGAGTCTTGTGGTCCACCAGGATCTCAAGCCAGGGTGGTGGGGGTTGGACAATCACATGTACTAGCTAACAGATACAGTGTGCGGCATTGTTCATACATGCGGAAGTTTTCACCCTTCCATCTTCCTTGTTATTATTTATCTCTATAGGCTTGATTTAGGCTAGCATAAGTTTAGTGCCATGTGGTAGTCATCTCCCCCTTTTGCTGTGTGGACAGAATCTGTGCTGGCTTCAGTTACAATTAAATCATCAGTATGGCTGGGTCAAAATGAAGACCAAAGTAGCAAGCTGTTGTTTACACCAATTTTTCAGTTGGAGTTGAATGCTTGATGCCCATAGATCCCTTTGGGAATCCCAGCCTCAGCCATTCAGAAGTGTTCTTTGCTGCTTTCTCTTTCCTTGAAAACCTCCATTGGGAGGGCTGTGCTGCATTGCAATGACGAACAAGTTGCTCTGACACTGTCTTATTTCTGGAGAGTGGAGGAGATTAATGGATTCTGCCTGCTGCTTGTGTCCCAGTCATCCAGAAGCAAAACAGTGCGTTCAGCAGCACTCGAGCTGCCAAGCATGATGTGTAAATGCAGAGTGAGGGTCTCTGAGCTGCCAGAGAGGCACTGGGAGGAAAGTACTGTGTTCTAACATGGCCAGGACCTGACAGAGCCTGGATGTTCCTACTGGCAAAGAGAACATCCCCAAGGACCAGCAGACACCTCTGCATCATAAGTGCATCTCTTCTTCCTGAAATAAGACAGACTTCATCTGCTTTAGGCCAGAACTGGCCTGTTGGAGGTACCACTTGTCCCAGCTCTTTGCAGAAGCATCTATTGAAAAGTCCCTTTTGTTCTTCCAGGATTCTGTGGACATCCTCCTTGGCAACGTCTTCTGAGCACAGTGGAATTAAAGCAGGTGTGGATCGTGTTTTATTGTTCTTGCAAGCAAGGGTAGAAGCAAATTCAGTCAAGCTCACATTCACTTTCGAGGGCAAGAATCTCCCTTCCTTCTTCCCTCCTCCATGTGCTGCATTGCCTTTCTTGGCTTTGCATCTTGGATTGCCTTTCTGGAGCCTGAGTATGGAGGGCTGATCCTCCTTGGGGCAGTCCTGTTCCTGCACGTGTATGAAGTCCTGTGGCATGATGAGGGACGCTGATCACTGATTGCAGCAAACATTGGCCGCAGGTTTGCAGTGAGCCTGTTTGCTAACTTGGCAGTGAAGCAGTGATGCACCCATGGGAATGAGAGTGCAAGGCAGAAAGGGAGCAAGTCCTCCAGAAAAAACAGGCTTATTGCAGTGGCTGTCAGAGGAACAAAACTGCCTGGGAGGAGCTGTGGTGGGCATGTATACAGCTGGAATGATTGCCTGCTGCCAGGCCTCTGGCAGAGCACGTGAGCTTAATAACAGCTTGGGCAGCGATGCTCGTGTTGAATTAGCTGCATGTGGCTGAAGTCTGCCTGTCACCTCCTGGCCTGAAGGGGAAAGGGGACCTGCTGTGTTTTGTCAAATCCCTGCCCAGCTGTTTAACTCTCTGCACAGCCTTGTTTTGACTGATACCACCAGGTTCTGCAAAGCACCTTCCTGAATTACCACTTTATATATATATTTTTTTTATATTCATAATTAGCGATGCTATCATCGTAATTAAAATCCTCTTGGAAGCGTTCATGCACATTTACATTTGAATTGACACATCCAAATTTGTAGCGATAATGAAAACAGTTTAAGTAGGGTGGGGGGAGATAGCTTTTTTTAAACCCCATTGGATATGAAAGAATGTGTCAGCTATCAGGGACCTGTTAAAGTTTTAATTTGCCCCCTCTGCTTCACTTTCCCTTTAATTTCTTCTCCTTTGCTAAACGGCATTTTCATGGCTGGCTGCATTTCTTGGTTTATCACAATAAACCATGCAGAGGAAGAAGATTACTGTGCTGGAGGAACGAAGTTGTCTCCTCCCCTTTTGCCCCCAGGGCTTCCCTTTTCATATGTGCACTCATACCATTTTGAACATTATAAACCAGCATAGCCCAGGGTTATTCCTGCCTGGCATGATGATTTCTTGGCAAAATACCATACCGATGGAGGGGAGTGTTTATTTTGGGTGACTCTGGATTGAATCAGTGATGTGCACCTGTTTGCAATTCAAAGAACTCATCAATAGCCTGCTGTATTATTTTGGGGGGTGGTAGCAAGTGGTTAGACTCAAAATAGTGTCCTTTAGAATAGAGCCACAGGGAAAAAAGAGGCCTGATTGAGAGGGGAATGATAAACTGTCGAAGGCTGGCAGCCATTGCAGCTTGAGAAACATCGGGGTCAGAGGTGCGATAGATTTTGCTATTCCGGAAACAAAGCACCGAATAGCAATTTCACTGCCTTTTAATTTTCTTCATCCTCAAGTGCTGAATGTGGGAGTTGACAACAGATTGCTGTAAATAATGTAATTGGAAATCTCTGTGTTATGGAAAAGCAGATGAATGCAAATAACGAAGCTGAAGAGCACTTGCTCTTTCTCCCTGCCAGTGGTTTGCAGCCTGCCAGAGCCGTGGTGGAGAGCTGGGACAAAGTGAGTGTGTGGGCATGTGCTGCATGAGGGCAATGGCAACGAAGTCCTCCCAGGGTGGTTGCATTTGCAGGTGCCTTTCTCTTCATTAAGCATTGTAGCCCACGAGAACCTGCTCCTCCGCCTTTTGGCTGCTGGGGGATTGAGCCAATAATGCTGGTGTCAGCATGGAAAGCTAAAGGTAGCTGTTTTCCTCTCGCACAGCCCAGCCCGGACTGCTGCGAAGGAAGGGGGCTGCAGAATGAGAACAGCTACTGCATGGCAAGCAGTAGGTGGTAGAGCAAAATGTGGCTTTGCAGCGAAGATCCTTTCTAAGCATCTCTGTTTAGGGGACTTGTGGCTTGCTGAAGCGAACTCTGGGGGGCTGCAAGTGTTTGTTATGATTCCTTCAGCTGTGATCCCGTCCCCTCATCAGCAAGTCCTAATGTTCTCTCTGTTTAGGAGCTTGTTTTGGCACTTACATGTTCAGAGAAGGAGAAAGAGGAGGGATAAGTTTGAGCAGTAACATGCATTTCACCAGTGCCCAGTGATTCTCCGTTAGGTCCCACTTACAGGCTGCACTTAAATGTGCTAGATAAAAATACGCATCTGCTTCTGACTGTCTCATCCTGTAGCTGTAATGATGGCTTGATGCAACTTTAATAGGAATATTATCAGGGTTATAAAAGGCATTGAGCTGTCTGGACTTGTCATGGCCATGGCTGTTAAATTGGTTTGAAGTAATAAAAAAAGGAGTCTGTTGCTAAAGTAGCTCTTCTCCCCCGTGTCCTCCCCCACTTTGCTTTAGGGTAGTTTAGGTGTCAGGGGAGGCAGAAAGACAGGAGCCTGAAGGAAGTCAATATTTAGTGTGGATTTTGGTTGTGTTTGGCTGGGGCAGTTTGGGCACAGTGGGCTGGGGACAGCTGCAGCCGGTGAACAGTGGTGTGACTGCTCTGTCCTCAGCCACACACTGGGCCACCATGTCCTGATCTCGGATAATGCAGATACAGATCTTTACTCCCCTCTGTCAAGCACTCAGAGCAAGGGATGATCAATGTTACTTAAAATCGGGTTGTTGCGAGAGACTGGAAGGGGCTGGCTGTCCCTCTCACTGGTGAGATTCCAGCTCCACCCAAACTCAGGCTGCCATGGGGGCTGGATTTCACCTTACATTCTATTGGGACTGGTAGGAGCAAAACTCTCTCCTCCTTGGAAAGAACAAACTCCTGCTAATAAAGAGGAGTTTTATTCTTGAAGCACTGTTATAGATTTATTAATTTAAAATCAAGCAAGAACTTTGCCGTCAGGCCGCTCTCGCAATCAATGAAACTACCATCAATAGCAGTCAGCAACATCGATTTGTTTTGATGTATGGATGCTAAAACCAACCTGTGTGTGCATGCGCAGAACAGAACATGAACCGTGGTCGTTTTGGATGGGGCACACTGCTAACCTGGGGGGAGCAGAGCTAGTAAATTAATATAGGGGAGAGCACCTTGCTGCAGCTGTTCTAGAGCTGATCTCAAAACAATTTCAGTACTGCTGTAATGAGACCAGACTGTATTAGAAGCACCGATTTAAATTGCATATGTATGCATAGAATCAATTTTATACTAGTGTTACTACATCAGAGCTGGGTGTATTATATCATTAACACTTTCTATAACTGGACTTGCTTTGGGGTAGTGAGAAACCATGGGGGTGTCCAGCCTTTTCTTACAGCAATCCTTGCTGTGTCTGATTGGTTTTATGGTGTGCCTAAATTGTAGTTCGCCTGAAGATAATAGGTCTCTTCAGTGCTTCAAATTAAATTACAGATGTTACAGGGTCTGTTCAGAGAACGACTGTAAGAAAGGGTTGCTTCTTCCCCAGCAGTTTGTGCAGGGAAGCTACATGTGCCCCAGCTACCTGGTGTGTGGGAGGGGATGCAAATTCCCTGGCTGCAGCAGTCCCTGTTCTGCCCACTGTGTCCTGCGTGTACAGCTGCTGCCAAGGCCTCCTGCCATCCTGAGACATGGGAGGCCAGGGCTTGCCCAGCCTGCAGCTCCTGCTGAGTTGCAGTGGGCTAAGCTCCATGTTGAGACGTCTGTCCTAGATTTAAAAAATGCGTTGCATTTCCCACTTCTTGATTTTGCAGGGATAGAAGAACATGTTCCTCCAGGGTCTCTGTGCTGCACTGGTGTGTGCTGTTGTACAAGCTGTACTAAATGCTGTGCAGTCCCTACGTGCTAGCAGAGGGGACAGAAGAAGCTGTGTCAGCTTGTACCTTGACTGGCTGGATCACTGTTTTGGCTGTTTGCATGTTGGGGAAGGAGCTGGTAGAGTGTCCTGCCTGTCAAGGCCCCCTCTGTAGAAGAAGAACTTGCAGTCATCTCTCCTTTGGGGAATTGGTTTCCCAGGTTTTTGCTTGGGTGGCAGACTCACTGCCCTACTGGGCTGTTACCCAGCAGGAAAATGTTGGTGTAATTGCAGGGTGCTCTCACCTCTGGGTTTCCAGATCCTGCTGTGGAGCACACAAACATTGCTCTTGCGCTCTTACAGTAACCGACACGTATGCTGGGTCACAGCAGTGCTGTGCTTTCTTCTGCTGGGTGCTCTTCTTTTAAAAAGCATAGTACCAGCTTCCCCTCTGAATTCAGATTGCCTTCACTTGGCTTTCAAGACCCCAAACACAGAGATTTTAGCTGTCTGTGTTGATGGCTCTGGACTAGGAACTGGGCAACCTGCTGAGCAATCTCCTCCCATCAGTGAAATGGTGATGGTGGTGTCCCGCTTTTTGTGCCTGCATGAGAAGAACTTCTCATGACTGCCAGGTGTTGTCACTGCCCTCTGCTTTGATTAAGCCCTAAATGCATATTGCAAACCTATTGCTGTAATTAGGGATATCTGCATTTGCACCCATTGCCATCATGGTGATACTATGTGCAAAATGCTTTGGGAACTCGGAGTAGAAACACTGATGATCTCCTTCACTCTGAACAGAAGTGCAAGTTTTCTACCCCCCTGCATGAAATAGAAAATGATATTTTTACTATATTAACTTATTTTTTCCCCAGCTGTCTCATTAGCTCATTATTAGACTGCTGGAAGGCACAAAAGAATTAGGTTTTTAGAGGCCGTTTCTCCTTGTCTGAGGTGCCATCCTTTTCCCTTCCTCTGGCTCACGGCAGGCTTTATGTTAAATGTACTTAATAGAGCTCCTTCATCATAAGCTGCACTAAAACTAAATTGGAGAGTAAAGGGTGTTCTTACAGGAGATATTACAGTTTAGCGCTCACAGTCTGTTTCCTGCTGCAGTTTCAGGTTATTTGAATGTCGTTCTTCTTGTTCTGGGGTTTTCAAGCACACTCGTTAAATGATCTGGCTTAGCCTGAATTGCTCTGTGAAATGAACGCCAAGGTTGTGCCGTTCGGTACGGCACAAGGCAGCGTTTCTGCTATCCTGGCATTGTCACTTGCATCCCCCAGCTGCTGCCAGTCTCTGACTATGTCAGAAGCAAAGCAACCCAGGCTGAGGGACTTGGCCTGGGAGGAGAGACTTGTCAGGACTTGCTGCCACTCCAGACAGTGCAAGACTTGCTTTAGTCTAAGCAGAGCATGTGCTTGGGGCTGTTGCCACCCATGGAATGTGCCTGCTCTCTCCAGGAAGCTTTTCTTTGTGCATTCCCAATGGGAAAGCAACAGATGCAGAATCTGAATTGCCTGCTGCTTAGGGCAGGCCAGGAAACTTCATCCCGATATCCTTGTAGTAAGCCTGGGAACCTGTGTTTGACTCAAGCACAGCATCAGAGAAACATCTAGTCTCGACCCAGAGAATGTAAGAAGCTCTGTGGTTTGCACTATCACGCTCTGCTCCTCATTCAGTCTGTGCCTGTTGCTCATTCAAATTTGTGATTGTTTTAGTGGTGGAAGAAGGACCGTGGTGAAGCTGGGCTGATAAGTTGTGGGGAGGAATTTGGGATGCTGTGGTAGTTGCAGAGTGCAGGGGAACCATTGGGCTCTGTGAGCTGGAAGGTTTGACCCCCCCTGTGTTTGAGTGGGGTCAAGGTCGCTCAGAGTGAGTGGCTGGGCCGAACTTGGTGGGAAGCTCATTTGGTGCTGGCTGTGCTCTCTTGCTGTAAAAAAACCAGGCTTAAGGTGTTGTGCCTCTGTCTAACAGGTTTGGAAGAGGTCTGGTGCATGGTTCTACAAAGGGCTGCCCAAGTACATCATGCCTTTGAAGAGCAGCAGCAAATCCAGTGAGCTACACTCGCAGCCTTGGCAAAGTGAGCCAGCCATGCCAGAGGCAGAGAGCGTCGGGACCAGCCGATCCTTCACCTGGGCCAGGGGAAAAGGTTGGTTGTCTGCTTCTTGCCCAGGAAGCAGGTAGGGAGAAGGAACTGGCTTCTACTGTTGCTAGCAGGATTCAGCTAATAGGGGAGAGGCCTGTGTTAGAGGTGAGGGGGCACAAGATGTGGTGTGTTTCCCATGTGGGCAGTGTTGGATTTTTCATGCTATGGTGTGTTTTTCAGATTTCACTGTTATTTAAGTGCACATTGGTGGCCCAGACTAGCCCCAGTCCTCCTGGACTCCCTGTCCTTCAGTCCACCCTTGCTTTCCTCCATTCCTTGCAGCCCCCACTGTTTTGCTGGGACTGCCAAGGGAGGGACGAACCGTGAAGCAGGCACCTGTCTGCAGTCGCAGCCCAAAGAGCTCCTCCTGCTGAACTACATAGGATGGTGCCACTGATGGACATCGTTGTGCAGCCAAGGCTGACAAAAGGCTGGTCTCATTCCCTCCCTCCTTGGGGCTGCTTGCTTCTTGCTTCTGCTGCCCTACAGAGCACCGTTGGACAGATACTTCAAGTCACTTTGAGCTGGGTTAGAAATTACACTGCCAACATCTCCCTGGGGTCTTCGTAGGGCCTGGAGCAAGTGGGCAGAGATATGCTTCTACAGTCAGTGGGCAGGAGTGAGCTGATGCTGGCTGTGTCCTTTTGTGCCTGACCCCCTGAGCAGGTGAGACTGGCAAAGGGTGAAGCTCCTTCCCCAGGCCTTGGGGAGAGGGCTGAGGTTTGCAGCATGGAGAGCTCAAGGCTGAGTTTTTCTTTTAATGTGTCTTGGAGAAGCTGTTGATTAACTTAGCCCTGTGCAGGGCTGGGGCCAGACCACTGACAAGCCTGAATATTTATTAGCTTCAGCACTCACGTCCCTGTTCTTTGAGGTAGTCCTTGATTGAAGTAGACCTTTGTGTCACAAGCGGCATCTTGGATCGCTGCCGTGTCGGATCCCATTCACAGCGCTGCCCTGTAGGGCTTTTTTCCCCCCTCTCTTCTATCTGCCCACCCTGTCGTTGCTCATATGCCCACTCCAGTGCTGTGTCTAGAGCCATCTGGGGGGAAGCAGCAGCTCAGCATTGAGGAGCTGGGCACTCAGGGTCATTAGCACAGCAGTAGATGGATGCTGCAGAATTAAAGCTGCTGCCAGTCTGCTTTGATTTCTCTTCATTTCTTTCTGCTGTGGATTAGCAGAACTGTCTGGCCTCTCTCACCTTCTGTCTTTTGCTATTAGATCCCTTCAATTGGAGAAGACCTCTTAAGTGTACCAGCAGCATACACTCTTCCACATCAAGATAAATCTTATCAGTAGTGCAGGGGGAAATAACCTTTTAATAAAGAGGGCTCAGGAGAGTTGAGTTTACAAGCCTTCTCTTCAGGGCCCAGCTAGGAAAGCACTCCCAGCCCTACTGTAACTTTTGTAATTAAAGACAAATTAGATCAACATTAGATCGTTGTGCTTCCCTCCAGGAGACGCTTGGAAGGAGTTGTCTTAGCAAATGAACTGATTGATGAGGTATTTTCTGTTCACATGATACAGAAAACATTACGAGTCAAAGATGTTGAGCCCAGACCTAGGCTGCTTTTTAGTTCAGCTTTGTAGTTGAGTTTTGTTTTGGGAGAAGGCTTCCCCATAAATACTGGCAGGAACAGCGAAGGAGCAGGTGGAGGACAGCAAAGTGGCCTTTGGTAAGCTTTGATGTGGGTGGTGAGCTGCCTTTCTCCCTGTGCCCTGATTTTTGGCTGGCTGCTGTTTTATGGGTTGGATAATATTAATTTATGGGTTTATTTTCTGGTACTTTCTTTCCTTGTTGCCTTTCTCTGTTAGGCCGCCTGTCCTCTGGACAGCTTTCAATGGTCACTGTGGGCTATAATTAATCTCTGAAGCTGGGAACTTGTACATCTCACCCCTCTGTTTGACCCTTTTTACCTGCCAGCGCTGGGACTTCTGCTGTTCGTCATGCAAAACCTCTGCAACGTGCAGGGCAGCTGCCTTCCGCTGTGGAGATGATGTAGCTGTGATACTGCCAGCGTCAATCTGCCACTGGGCCTGGACTGAGCTTTACGAGGCCGTGGCTGACAAGGCAGCCTGCCTTACCTCCGTCTGGCTGATAGTGTTTGTCAGCTCACACCTCGCACGCCCTCATCTGAACACATCCTTTCGGCACTGAGTAAAGCCCTGTTGCTTGGTTGGCAGGATGTTCTCGGGAACGAGCTCTGGCATTTAACATGCCTGACTCCAACAGGCTGCGCTTGGTGGGGTTTCCATTATCTTGGCCAGTCATGTCTAACCCCACTGCTTGCCTCCTGAGGTGCTGAAGGAGCCGTCTCTCGGCCATTAAGGGATTCAAGTCAGGTGGGACCAGCGCAGGTGCATCAATGTCCCGGCACAGTCCCTGTGTGAAGAGCCTGGGAGAAAGTGAGCCGCGGTTGTCCTTTTGGCAACCAGGAGCTGCCTTTCAGCAGGGATGGGACAAACCTCAAGTGTCCCTTTTCCCCCCTCAAAAGGAAGGGATCAGTGCCAGCCCCTGGGTACTGGCTGCTCCTGCTGCAGGAGGCTGGGAAGGCAGCGGGACCGAGGGACTGCAGGGACGTGCCTCTTGAAAGAAAAGCCAAACCCACCAGGAAGAAGTTTTATTTTTACACACCCATTATTTCTCTCGCGCTCACTGACACTGGATTTGCCGTTGCCTTTAGTTTTTCTGTAATAAACAAGCAGTTGCCATGGGAACCCTGCTATTAGTTAAGGCACAAATGTATTGTCATGGGGAGAATAGCAGTAATATTTCTTGTGCTGGGGAACAGCTCTGCTCCATGTGGTGGAATGTGGGTGGGTTTCTGCACTGGGTCAGGCAGGACAGGGCCGTCAGGGGGTGGGGAGTAATAAGCAGCAGGGCTTTCCTTCTTCCGAACTCTGAGTTCTGCAGAAAAAAATGTAAAGCATCTGTGTGGAAAAAAAGAAGTGTGATCCCTGAGCTATTGCACTGTTTGGCATGAGGGCTGCGTGCTGCTCTGCTTGGTCTCCGGCGGTTTCTCCTGTTGCAATGTGCTCTAGTCCTGTTGCCATGCAATGCAATGTGCTGGCGCAGGAGCAGCGGCTGGGCAGGGGGATGCAGCGGGTTTGTCCGGTGTCTGTGTGCTGGAGGCTAAATCCCCGAGTGCTGGGGCACATCAAGCGCTTTTCAGGCCACTGAGAGGGTCATCCAACTTCTCTACAAGTTTGGGCAGTGCTGAAGCTGCACGTGTGCTGCTTCTGTGAAAGGGAGAGCAGTTGGGTCCAGTACCCTCCTCCTGCTTGAAGAGGTCTCTGCAACTGCGGGCAGCACTGGGCATGATCTAGCATAGGACCTGCACTCAGTGAGACACTTGGGTTGTAATAAAACTCTTCATCTCTGACCCTCCTACCCACAGTGATCGAGAGCTATCGGCCTCTCTCCAGCCACTCTCCGGAGGTCGTGTTTGCAAAGGCTGATGATACAGTGCTGCAGGGGAGCTGTGTGCTCGAGGGCTCATGCTTAGCCCGCTCATCCAGCGCGTCTTGGCTGTGCTGGGCACGTGTGGCTGTTCGGAGCTGTTGCTGCAGGGTGCCCATGCGTGCTTTTTCTGTGGTTTTGGCAGCTGCAAGAAGCGCCAGGCTTTGTGTGTGCAGGGACTGAGCTCTGCGCTGCAATAAGCAGTGGGAGGGAATGTGGCTGGCTCTTTCCATCACAGGTGTGCCTGTGCCAGGTGCACGCATTTAATATTGGAGCTCAACCCCAGCCAAGTGCTCCTTTCCCCTTGGCCTGAGCACAGCCTTCCCTCATCCTCTGCTGCTGGGGTTAAGTGCAGCCCGGCAGCCCTCCACCATTCCATTTGGCTCTCCGTGCCACGGGGCTCCGGTACCTCTGGCTTGGAGGTTGAACCACATGTCGGAGGGATTGTGGGCTCTGGCAGCAGCCACGGGGGTTCAGACCCTCGATGAGTGACCCATTCCCTGTGGGAATACTGCTTTTCTTGCAAGTTTTGTCTCGGCATATTTTCTTATGAGCTTTTTTTCAGTCAGCTGGAGATTGAGAGGGATAAATCTGTTACATTCTCTGAAAATACAGCTGTCCAACGACTCTTATTGATATATCAGCAACTGCTGGAACACCAGATTTACGACTTCTGGGCTCTGGAAGGTGCCAGCAGAAGGTCTGGGAGCTTTGGGAGAAAAATTACCTTAAAGGGAAACATTGCTGCAGTGGGTAAAATACACTCTTATTGGCAGCAGAGGAAATGAGAGCAGACAGGGCTGCTCCTGTGGTGCAAGTGCCTTTGTGTCATTAATATTTTCCTCTTCTTGTGCTGGTCCTCTCTGAACTGCTGAGTGGCAGAAGGGAAGGCAGCTAAAGTCACCTCCACTGATTCACTGGGGCCTTCTCCAAATAAATCCTGACTTCCAGCATTTTTAAAGGATTCATGGAGGAAGGAGCTGTTATAAAGCGATGGATTTTATGAATCCAGGAGGCCAAGAAAGAATGATGACCAAGTAGGACAGGAGTGCATTTTCTGAGGGAATTGGGCAATGGGTGAGTCAGAATGATTCTCACAGCTGAGATTTGGATTTCATAGCAAAAAAACCCCATACTGGTATGTATGGGTTGTTATTAACAGTATTTATATATAGTCCCCCACCATTCCCTGGGAGCTTTGAGGAAGTAGTGAAGCTGTCTTTAAGACAGCAAAGCCCCAAGCCAAACCTTTGCTTTGAGAACTCTTAGCCAGAAGTGCAGCCCCCCTGCTTGTAATGGGGCTTCACTCTCTGCCTGGCTCAGCTCCACAGTCTCTTTCCCTGGGGGTGAGAGGTCCCATTTCTGATGGTGCCAGGAGGGGAAGGCTGCGGGGGCAGTGAGGAGGGGGCCTGGCAGCCTGCCCCCTGCGCAGCACTTCCCAGCAGCACGGAATGCGTGGGGAGCTGCCCGCCAGGGCAACTTCAATAACACTTTGCAATAACACTGGCAGCCAGCTTTAATATCCTCAGAGATGTTAACTCCAGAAAAGCGCTATTTTAGGTATTAATTCTTTTTTTTTTTTTTAATAAAATACTTTGTGTACTACAGATCGCTGCCTGAATACAGGAGCGGCTGCAGAGGTCCTTGGCAGAAATGTTTGACAGCTTGTGCTTGCCTGTGCAAAGGGAGGGATACCCGTCCTCCTGCCCTTGGGCAGCGTTAAAGGGTTTGTACCTCTGTGAATTGTGTGTAGTGAATTCTAGGGCTGATACAGAGACATGAACTGACAGCTCTCTTTGCTACGCCACAGCTGTCACGTTGTACCACTGCACCCACATCCCTCCTGCAGCTGGCAGCACCGTGAGGTTGGGCACTACGAGTAACATGGCACGGGGGCAAACTGGTTTGTTCAGCAGCAGAATGGGGAACTCATTTCTCATGTGAATGTGAGCTTATAAATACATACTGATGAATATAATATAAAGAAATAGTTGGGGCTTCGTTTTTCTACAGTAGAGGCTGTAGGTTGCAGTGTTGCCTACTTTGTCCCACATGAGCCGATGTTGTACTTTCTACTCAGAATTGTGACCCAGTCTTTGAAGTGGCTTCTGAGCTGCCAGGAGAGCTGGTACCTGCCTTGGTTGGATGGAGAAATGCTGTAGGTGCAACCCCTCGAACAAAAGACAGTTGTTTTCCTGTTACCTTCCTCCTCAGACCCATCATTTCTGTTCTGAGATCAGGCCATTACAAAAACCTAGGAGTTGGAAAAACACCTTTCTCATTTTACCCAGCGCAGCTGGCAGTTGAGTTATCTTTTTACACCGGTATAGGCAGGAGAGGTGCTTGCATAATTGCATGGAAAAGTGGAAACAACCTGCCAATTTGGCAAGTTGTGTCTGGCAAAATGAGGCTCCTTCAGCTCTTGTGGAAACTATGGAGAGTGGAAAGCAGCAGGATTAGGGCCAGGATTCAGGGCGGGGGGGAAAGAAGGAAAAGAAAGTGGCCTTGAAGTGGGGGAACAGTCTCCTTGAGGAAGAGGAGCGACTCTTGCCTTTTAAGCCTTGGGGGCATAGGAGTAATATAGTTCTGGGCAGTGTGCTGGTAGGGATGAGTGCTGAACGGACGATGAGCTAAGAAGTCATGTAATCGCTGCAGGGTCTTTTATTTGATATGCTCAGTAGTATCTGGTGTTTTCCTCATAGATCCTGAGCCTCCACAGAGGCCCTGCTGCACTTGAAATGTGGCTTGGAGAAAGGCAGGCCCTGGCCCCACATTACTCAAACATGGATGCTCTTCTGGTGCAGCCAGGACCCCTCCACCTGCAGCTGAGCACAGGAGCCAGCCTTGTGCCCAGTCCAGCCCTTAGCGTTTTACTCCAGTGTGGGAGACAGCAAACATCAGGAGGAGGGGACTCACTGGCGTGCCAGCACGGGGGTCAGCAGGAGCAGAGCACAACTTCCAGACCAGCCACGCTGCAGGGCTCTTGGCTTTGTAGCAGGTAGCTTTGGGCAGCAAAGCACAGCACAGGAGCAGTGTGGTCCCCATGGTTCCAGACCAGTTTAGGAGAGAAGCACTGGTGGGGTGTGCATCTGCTTCAGGTGCTGGCAGCACCGGAGTGCGTATGGCAGAGTTATAAATCATTTGTAAAAAGTAAAAGCACATCATGTTTGAGAGGAAGAGTGAACAGCTGTGGGGGAACTGCAGGTAGGGCTCCTTTTGGAGAGGAAGAACGTGATCAGCAAGTCAGCATTTGTTCATGTTTTATTTGGATCCATCTGGCACCCTCTTTGGTAAGTGTTATGAACATTGTGAATAACTGTCTCTCTCCTCTCCTCGCCCCGATCTTTTCTGCAGTGGTTTCTAGTGACAGTGAGAGCGACTCGGAGTTCAGTTCCTCCAGCCTGGATGACAAGCCCTTACCTGTGGGGTTAAAAGGCTCACAAGGCAGAAAGCACCGAGCAGGACTGGGTGAGGAGTTCCTGTCCCTTGTGGCTGGAGGGTGGGAAGTGTAAAGCGCTTGAATGTTTGGGTCTTGATACTGTGGGTTTTGGCTCAGCCGCTTGCCTGCCCTGTGCCGCTGCAGCCCACTGGCTGTAGTGGTGCCAGGTGAGGATCTGATCCTTTCTCACTGGAATAGGATTAATGGGTCAAACAGGTGGTGGGTCACTCCATTGCCTGCAGCCTTTCAGGGTCTGCCCTTGCAGCTGAGAGCTGCTTCTGGCCGCATGGCAGCACGTCTCCAGCCAGCTCCTCGCTCCTGACTTCATAGTACTGGAATCACTGGTGCTGTTTTAGGAATGGAGTACGGGAACTGGGTTTTGACCCTGCTCCTGAGGGTGCCTGGCTGGGAGCGGGGAGGCTGCTGCTCTCTTAGGACCTGGCCCAGCATCTGCACCCACTTCTCCATCCCACAGCAGCATCTGTCTGTTGTGTCTCTGCAGCACCCATCGGGGAAGCCGGCCAGGCCATGGGCAGGGCACTGGGAAGCACCCACTCCCCTACCCTCTCAGGGAGCCGCAGCAGCCTGGGCAGTGAGCAGGGGGCTGCCCTCAGTGCCATGGAGAGCTGCCAGAGCGACCAGCCAGCGGACGGGCGCGACAGCGATGTTGGCAACAGAGTCCCTGGTAAGCTGAACCTCCTCTCTGGGCAGATCCATGCTTTTGGGGCTGACTTCCCTCGAAGCACAGCCTTCTCAGAGGCACACCTGGCAAAGCTGCAGCTCAGGATCACCTTTCCCTGCTGCTTTTCTCATGGCAGATGCTGTCACAGCATTACAGCTCACTCCTTCCCTCTTCCCTGCGTGCAGAATGTATTCTGCAATATGAGTAATCGTCTGGGGTGGGAGCTGCCTACACCCACCTCCGAGAGCAGCCGTAGCCAGGGTCTGTCCCCCTGCAAAGGCCCAGAGCTCCTGCCTGCCCTGCAGAGGCAGCAGAAAAGATTGAGCTTTTACCGAAGCAAGGCAGAAGTCCGGCAGCTTTATGAGACTGAATAAAAATTTTCCTAATGTTAGATGGCTCTTAAAGCCATGCATGGCTCTTCCCAGAACTCTGCAGTGCAAAAAAAGACACTTTTTCCCCCTCAACAACCTTGGAACAATTAAGTGACTGTGAGAGCAGAGGCTGCTATCACATCTGATCTGGAGCAGCTGAGAGATGCAAATGTGTTCTCTCTGCGGTTCCTGCTAATCTATTCAATAACCCCTTAAGTTATCATTTAGCACTGCTCCCTCCAGAGCGTTCCTGCCGCCCTGTAAACTGCCACTCCTTTTGTTCCTGAGCCTGTTTTGTGTTGTGCATGTTGAGGCGTAAATTGGATTAGAGAGAGCAGGTTTATCCTTTAGTGCAACATGGAGTCATAGTCCCCCTCCCCACGCTTCCCGCTAGAAATAGCCAGCATAAAATTGTTTCTCTGCTCTTCCCTCCCTCCCCAAGTTTCAAGGATTTGCAGTTTCCTTTAATTTTAGTTTTCGCAAAGCAAATTAGATGACTGATACTTCTGCTCTGTCCGTCCTCTCTCTGGATTATAGTGCTGCCCCGGACTGGGTGCTTTATTTTAAGCCCCTGTTGGCTGTGGCATTAGAGACAGCTGATTCCTGTTGTGTGTTGGCTCTGCTGCCTGCCGGAGGGGAGCAGCAGGTTGTCCTGCAGGATTGAAGCGGGTGATGGTGGATAGCAGGTGTGATCCCTTGGGTGCTTTTTCTGCTGGTGCTGCATGACCGTGATGAAGTCTGGATGGGTGCACACCTGGATGGTGTGTTTGTACAGCGCTTAGCACTTCAGAGCTTTCCTGCCAGCTGTTTAAACTAACTGCCGCCTGGTCATGACAGTGCAAGCAATATCTGAGAAGCAAAAAATGCCTTTTTCCTGCTAAAAAATTCATGTGCAAAGCTTGGGTCAATGCTTTCCAGTGGGATCTCTCCTTGATAGGTACGGGAGAGCTAAAACTGACAGGCATCATGGACATATCTTAAAAAAATGAAAACTATAGCAATCTCATGAGCCCAGTTAAAATAGTCCCTGAGATGTAGAGAGAATCCTGCTAAGGAAAAGGTTAAGCCAGGTTGGCTGACTAGAGAATATCTGTAAAGATCTTTATTATCTCTGGGGTCATTTATTTCCCAGTCTTCCTGCAGAAGGGACTGCTTTGTTCAGACGTGGTGCGTGCAGCAGCAGGAGGGCTCTGCGGCCCCCAGAGCTGGGGGAGGGAGGCAGGGAGACAGCAGTGAGTATTTCTGCTCACGTGTGCCGGGAGGGGGGAATGAAACCGGTGGTGGTTGCAGTCGGCAGGCACGGGCTTTGGGAACTGATGGAGGGTGGCAGCAGGCAGGGTTCTCTTTGTCACGTCACGTCAGGGAACTAGCCACCAGCCAAGCGTCCTCCTGGGCTGGGGAGCTGCTATGGGCTCTCAGGGAGTTAGGTGACACTACAGCTGTGGCTCTGTGACCCCAAGAGGTGGCAGGATGGGCTATAGAGCAGCTGGCCTTTCTTCAGGCCTGTCCTGTGCCAGCGTTACGCCTTTCTGCAGTGTGGGTGCTGGTGAGGTAGGGCAGCATCAGAGACTCTACCAAAGGTCTCTGCAAGGAGGCGAAGGTGGAACCTGAGCATGCTGTGGGAGGCACGCGATGTGCCCGTGTTGTGTTTGCCATGGCTGTATGCTCTGTCCCGCAGTGTGGGTCGTTGTCAGCACTTCAGGGTGGGGAGGACAGAGGGAAAGTGAGTCTGTTTTACCCTCCGATGTGTTTGGGATGTGGTCTTGCCTCTGTGCAGCAAGTGAGCAGCAGGGGTAAATATGGTCGGCATTTGTTTACTCTGAGAGCACTTAACATGCCCAGCTGGAGAGATGCTGCAGTGATGTTATCTGTGCAGCAAACTATTGGCAATCACAATCCATTACACATGAATTTAGTAATCAGCATTATGTGGCGATAGGACTCGTGTGGCCTTGTGTTCTATGCGGCTCTGTAGCAGGTGGTTTGAGCAGATCAGACATCCAGGAGGCTGCAATACTGAATGCCCCCATGCTTTGCCAGCAGCCTGGCAAGAGCAGAAAATAAAGAGCAAAACCAGCGCTGTAGTCCCCTAGGAAGTGTCCTGCTCTGCAGAGGGGTTCGTTCGCATGCTCTGGGATGCTGGAAGTCTGGGGCGTGCAAATACTGGGAGCCTCGGGGCAGGTAGCAGAGCCTCTCCCCATCTTTAGATCAGAGCTTCGTCTGTCTGTGAGAGGCTTTTCGTCATGGGTCCCTCTGGATGCCACTGTTTGCCAAAAAGCAGAGTCTGCTCTTGCTGTTCGTCTCTTTAAAGAGAGGTGGAGGTGATGGGTGCTGTATGTCAAGATTGGGAAAACTCTTCACTGCATCTCCCTGCCTGCGGGACAGTCCCTGTGCTCTGCTCTGACCCAAAAGCAGAGCAAGGGGCAAAGATCCTTTCTCATTTAAATTGCTGATCCTCAGCTGCAGAATGGGGACATTAAAGGGAGATTTTGCTATAGCTTTTCTGAAAGGGTCTGCAACTTTATAACACTGTGTTGGGAGCAATTTTTACTTCATATTAACACCTCAGGTGTTGTTCTACCAGTGGCTTTCTTTTCACTTCTTTTTCTCACCTCTGCTCTAATTCTGCTCTCAAGTGTGGCTTTGCAGAACACTTTAGCATCCTTAAATCCCAGGCCACAGCCAGAACAGGGAATTAGGGAGTGGTACTGCAAATGCTGCTGGTCTCATAGTCCTTAGCTGTTTAAGCCTGAAGGCCTAGATGACAGTATGGTCCTGCAGCCAGGGGAAAACAAGGAGCTATTAAGAAGAGTTTGTAGGTTTCCAGTGTGTTGCTCTGGCTCTGGCTGGGGTTTGGTGAGGCAGATAATGAAGCCTGGGGTTTGTCATAAAATGACTCATTGTCAGAGCTGCATTGGGATTTAGGCAACCTCAACCCATGAGCCAAGGTTTCAGAAGAGTGGTGAGTTGAGAGGCTGCCAATTTTATTTATTTATTTTTTTACCACCTGCTTTCAAACCCTTTCGAAAAACATCATTTTCTGAGGGTCTGGTGTTTCTTCTTCTGAAGCTCCAGTTCCTGGAGGTGCCCACTCTGACGTGATAGCTGTTAAGAGGAAGACCATGTGCTGGTTTTCCTGAAGAATGTTTTATCCTAAAGGGGATGAAATTTGCACACAGGAAGGAAGCACAATCTTTCTTTTTCCCCTTGTTTGCCCCTGGCTAGGGAGGTGACTTGCCTTGTTCTGGCTGTAGAGCTGATGTGTGTTAAGAAGTGCCTCAGTTAACAATGAGCAAAATCCTCACTACTGTTAATGATGACATTTGTATTAAAGAAAGGGAAAATTAAACAGAATTAAACAAAGAAATCATCAATATCTTCCAGTGGTTTTCATTAACTCATGGAGAGCTTTTAATGGAGATATCTTTGAGCTTGGACCTGGCTGCTGCAGGGGGTAAATTAAGAGCAAAAGGCATCTCTCCTCAGATCAGTAGCAAGTTCTACTTTGCTAGGTCCCAGTTAATGGGGTCCTCAGTGTCTTCTGAGGAATGGGTCTATGTTGTTTGGTATTCTGTGGGTCATCTGAACAACTTGCTGGTAGGGAATGGTGAGTGAGCTTGGCATGGGCTCTGGGTCTGGAGAAGGCTCTAAGTTGTGGTTAAAAGAGGAGGTTTGAGAAACAGCCACAAGATAAGCTAATGAATGAGTAGCATACATCTGAGTGCAAATCACAGTCTTCTCACCTCTGCTTGTTTGCCAACGTGTTGTCTAAATCATTAATACTTAAAGAGCAGTACGGCAGCTGGCAGTTAAACAGAGCTGTGTTAAACCCTGGTGTTGCTGAGTCTGGGAGCTGAGACAATGATGGCAGTGCCTGGTGGGGTATAAGAAACGTCGTGGCTTGCAATCACAGGGTGAGACTGGCTGGAAGGACCTCCAGAGGTCAGCTGGTCCAGCCTGGACCCTTTTCCCAGGGTGCTGAAGCTGCAGCTTCTGGGTACCTCCCTTCGGGTGCTTGCTTTTTAGCTGTCATGCTGGGAAAGGCTGAGCAGAGCTGAGAAAAGGGCCTGGAGCTGAGAGAGATGGGCAGGAAGTGCTGCTTCCAGGTCTCTTAATCTGGGGAGATTTATGCCCTGTCTTTCAGGAATTGACTGGATTTAGAAATGAGGTGGTGTCACTCCCTCTGTGGCTCAGTGCCTCCCCAGCTGGGGTAGGCATCAACTTTTGCTCATAAATATGCAAGCTGTTAATACATAAGACAGGAAGAGCCATTCTGCATTATTTTCATGGCAGGAAATTCTCAGGGCATCTCTGAAGTGAAAGCATTAACTTCTTTTTTTTCTTCCCTTCTGTTTCTCAGATATCTGTTTTGCTCCCTCAGGGACAATGAGGAGGTAACATTTTGCTTCAGTGGGTCTAACTACTCCATTCCATGTAGGAAAAAAAATTATCCTAACTGTAATTAGGCTCTGAACGGGATAGTAATTTCTTTGATGACTTTCTTCATGGCAGTCTTTGGGGAGTTGACTTTTGTTTTTCCTGCGCTTGGTGAGAAAGTTGCTTAAATGTTTTCAGGCTGCTCGCTCCCTCATCCATGTGAGCTACAGCCAAACAATGTAGTCTTCCTGGGCTGGCTTTGCAACAGGGTGAAATAGGTGGGCAGCTGCGCGAGGGAGCTGTGCTCGCAACCCCTGCTCTTCCTCCCTCTGCCTTCAGCCTCTGCCTGCACTGAGGACATAGGGTAGGAAGGAAGCAGGGGTCAGATGTGGAGAGACCCTCACCTACACCCAGCCTCTCCCCTCCAAGCCTCTGCCTTCTGCACTGGCTGCCGCATCAATCTTTGCGCACCACTGTTTGCCTCCCTTTGCTTAAAGCTTACTGCTGTGGGATTGAGTTTTCCTGCTGCCAAGGAGCACGAGTTGTGCCTCTTTCACAAAGTGAAAAAATTGAAATGTGCCTTCATGGCTGAGCAGCTTTGAGCTGTCTCTGCCTCCTTGTGTTGGTACTGCAGAGCACCGAATGGTCCTGCTGTATTTATAAATAAAACATGTCTTTGGGTAGTGACAGCATTAGGAAATGGTTCAAGGTTTGCATTCTAGATACAATGGATTTGTAAATATGAACCTCAGAAGAAGCATATGCCCCCTTCCATGTTTTAAGGAATTAAAATATTTTCATCCTAAAGTGGTAGAACCGAAACGTTTTCAAGTCTTTTAAGTCCACCTTGAAGTTAAGTGAATAAAGGCTCGAGTAGCTAAAAAATAAATTACTTTTGCTATTTCTGTAATTCTTTATGGAGTTTTAAATTGAAGACTTTTTCCTTGAAAATAGAGGAATGACAAAGACTCATTCTCTTGCCTCTTTCACTCAATATATCTGGAAACAAGTCTGCTGCTGAAGATGAAACTCCTATTTTTGTGCCTTCTTTCACATTGCAGAGGTCTGTGCTTTGGTCTTTGATCAAACAGCCTGTCTGGCCTCCTGCCTCCACATCCTTAGACTTATTCTCTGCCCTTTGCAATACGTTTACTCTTTGCACTTCCAACTTTCTATTCAGCATTTTGCACAAAGCACTGAGGGTAATAGTTGATGTCATCTTTCAAAACGAAGCATAAAGGAGAGAGCATGGGAAGTCAGTAATATAGAAGTTAAAAGTGTGGATTTGGAGTCTTTGTAAACACATTGAGACGTTTTATGGCTCGGGAGGTTATCTTTCAACTGGGATTTTGGCCAGTAGCTGGTGGGAGGAATTTGCAGGACTCCCCGTGCCTTGAACATTTCACATGAATGCAGCAACTGGAAACATCCCCTGTCCTTTCTCCAGGCGTCAACATAACTTGTGTCCCGTTCAGTTCAGAGAAGGGGGAGAGAAGTTAGTACTGACCCACCGCTGCCTTAGATCACGTTGCCAGCCCCACATTTCGCCCCATGTGCTGGAAGCAGCGCATCCCAGCAGACCCTCAGTTTTGCCAGGGGCTGCTGAAGCGATTAGCTCAGGTTCGTTTAGTTGACATGAGCCAGAGTGCCTTCTGCAGCAGAGCATCGCTGTCCTGCACCCGTCCCCAGCCATGGGCAAGGACTACATTCTGCCGTGGCTCCTGTCCATGGCCCTGGCACGTGGAGGGCAGAAGGGTCACGTGGAGGACCTGCTCTGTGGCACATAGATGCTGTCACCTGGGTTGGAAACCTCTGAGAGCTGAGACTTGGCTTTCTGTCTGACTTTGCCCTTTGAGGGAAGCATGTACCAGAGGACTAGTTTTAGCAGTACAACTCCTTCTTTCTCCTTCTTTCCCCATTTCTTTCCCCTGTCTTTTCTTTCTTTAATAAAGTTTAATGGGCCCTGACTGCTGACAGACTGTGGAGTAATGATGCATAGACATTCTCTTCATTATTATTTTTAGGAAGCTCTTAAAATGGCACTGAGCATGTAAAAGCAACATAAAATAACTGTCAGGTCTCTCCCCTTCACTGCTTTCCAAACAAAACTTTTGTCTTTATGTATTTTGAAGGCAAACGGTGTGTCCACACCAGAACACAATGCTGACAGAGGTGAAGATGGAGCTGCTTTGCCTGGATCCAATGCGTGTCCCTTGCCCACTCCTGTAGACCTCACTCCAGACAACGACTGCTGCTGGTGGTGACTTTATGATGGTGGCTCTTGCACAGACCTTAGCAACATGATGGCACCTGGGAAAGCACCTGCCTGTCCTCCCTGCCTCACTGACTTGGTTTATGGTTTGGTCTGTTTTCCCCTTCTACTGACTGACATGCACTTCAGGGTGCTGCTCGGAGAAGGATGCTGTGCTGTGCAGTGCTGCCGTGGGGTCCAGACCCGTGTTTGTTGGAAGGGGTACACAAAGTGCTCACTCGAGCTGAAGAAATGTATGCTGCCTCCACTGTTCCTGGCTTGCCAAGCCCAGCCTCGGGTTCAGCTCCTGGCCTCGCAGTCCTGGCTTTGCAGTCTTCAGGAGAAAGAGAAATTCGCTCCTATCTCCCTGAAATAGGGTGTGAGGAGACTGTAGCCCTTCTACTGCTTCTCAGCCCAGGGGTGAATTTTCCTCTGTGAACCCCAAGGGTGAGACTGGGGCTCCGGTTTGCACTTGAGTCCTACGGGCCCGGGGTGTCACCCCTTGTGTTTCTTGTCATTGTTGTTCTGGTTTGAGTTAGTATGAGTTTGGCAGCAGCATCCTGAATCAGCTGCTGAAGTTGTGCTCCTGTTCACTTCCACTGAGGTCGCTGTCTGCTCAGGGAGGTGCTTCAGTTAGTAAAGAAACGCTCAAAGAAGTTTGCTATGAATTTTCTGGTCCTCCTGGCTGTGCACTGGCCTGTGTGCCCTGTGGTGAGGGTGATGCTTCAGCAGTGGGATCATGGGTGGTGTGTATGTGCTGCAGCTCCTGGTTGGAGAACACCCACCACCCCATGGCCCAGCTGCCTGCCTTTGCGTACCCAAATTGGATAAAAGCTTTCAAATTACTTTATCTTGGTGAGCTCTGCAGATTCTCCTCCCACATGCACACCTTGTCATCTCTTGCGTGAGCAAGGGCCTTTGTTTTACCTTTTCCTGCAAGTCTTGAGCATCTGGCTGGCTGTGATGGTGTCATCATGAGTCAGGCTGTAGAAAGCTGTGTGCCCTGGTCCTGTTTATTCTTTCGGATGGACAATTTCCCTCCAAGGCCTGACAGATGAGAAAAATCAAATTACCTGACATCTCTAGAGCAATTAGATGTTTGAAGGCCTGAATAAAACCCACACTAGGCAAGTAGGAGTCTGTGTATTTTATTAAATGCTTCGGATCTGACCTGTCTTTTGCTGAAGAAACAAAGAATTCCAAAAAGTTCCCTCTGAAATCATGGATTTAAAGGCAATTTGTGCCTATTAATATTAGCCTTTTCCCTCGGTTATTACTCTTCTGTTCTTTGCTGCTGGGCACTTTGTGTGCATGTAGTATATGCTCTTACAAATGGCTGCAGTATGAAGATAAATGAGATTGGGTGCTGGAACACTCTAACAGGAGATTGGAAATCAATCCTTGACTTTCTTTCTAAATGAACGTAGTCCAACAGAGGACCATTCCCTGCTTTTCCAGCTAACTTGCTATGGCAGGTTGCTGGGAAAATCCTTCCAGCTCTTCCTCTGTGATCTGTTTCTGCCCTTTTAAAAATTAAAACAAAACCTTTGGATGATGTGGGCTCTTTGAGATGGCATAAAGAGAAACCACTGAACGTGGGCTTCACAACATCGGTGTTGAAGAGAGCAAGGGATGAGGTTGTTCTCCACTGAGGGATGCTTTATGTCATGGTCTGTTTAAACCTGGCCATTGAGACTTGACCAGCTGTATCTCTGAAAGAGGTAATGCCAAAATTATTAGCTATTTCTGAAAAAGTAAATCCAAGTCAGCTTTTGCTGAAATGCTGGTATGATTTCAGAGCTGAAGTCGTGCTGTTTCTTCTGAGAGCTTGTAGGGTCTTCAATTTCAGAAGTGTTTTGCCACCAAAAAAGTCCTGTCTTGCCTTGGAGCTTTTCCCAGTCCTACTGAGGCTGTTCTGCTTGTGCTGTCGTTACTGCAATGCCTCAGACAGCCTAGCCTGCCAGCCTAAGTTAATTCTATAGAAGAAGGAGAAGGAAAAAGACACTTTTAAATTGACTCAATTTTCTTTAAACTTGTTACTCTCATCAAAAACTCTAGACTGAGTTGGAAAGAGTTTTTAAAATTGAGCATGTCATTTCTAACTCTTCTTGTGTTTCTTGTGCTTCGCTTCTGGGCAGTGCAGGCAGGTCATCGAGTTTTCACCCCCACTCTTGCTTCCCGCAGCCGTTTACCACACTGTGGGTTGCCGGCTCTGCACAGGTACCTGGTAATCCTTGCTGGCTTACTGTGCCACTTTGAGGCATGAGTTTCACTTTTAACTGAGACTAGGTTTTATAAAACACTCTCAGAGATAAATTTGGGACTGCTCTTGTACCATTGAGACTGGAAACCTTTCTTTCTTACCTCTATATTTTACCTCCATGGAGTAGTTCCACCTGAGTTCAAACTGGAACTGTTCAGTCATCTATGGAAGGACTCCTCTTGGGTCAAGGGAAGGATCCAACCCAGGAGAATGTGATCTAGCCACATTTGAATGTGATAGAGGAACATCCACAGTTCTGTGCACATATTTTCTATTAAAGACCACTTTTCCCTTTGTTGTGTCTCTCTTGGTTGTGTTTTGTAGCTTTTGTTGGAATATTATCCTAAACTTGTACCCGTTGACTGCCTTTTGAGTTGGTTCAAGGTGGGCAACAAGGGCTCAGTGAATAGTGCTCGGTCTGCTCTTGTCCTTGGTGTTTCTTTTATTATTTTGTTGTTCTTGTCTCCATCCCTTACAGCTTTTATGTAGTGTTTTACTACTGCAAACAATAAAGTTTTGGCTCAGTAACAATTGCTTGCCATTCTTGAAACAGTAAAAAGTTTTTTTCCATTCCCAGGTTGTGGATATTCTCCAAATCCTTGGGCTGGCTCCAGCGAGGAAAGAAAATAATCCAGCCAGTGGAATGGTGATTCACATGGCTGGAGCATAATTGAATTCTGCACTCGAAAGTCATCTTTTGTCTTGCTCCTCTTTGGTATGTCTTGCTGGTGATGGCAGGGGGCACAGGTCTGCTCTTCAGCCCCTCCATGAAGGTTTTCCATGTTGTAACCACTAAGCCTAAAGCAGCACCGATTGTCATTCTGTCAAGTGCTGTCCCCACAGCCTCCCAAGGCTCATCACTTGCTGCGGTTTGAGGGTCAGGGTCCATTTAGCTTTGCCTACAGAGAAGCGTCTCTGCATTGTTCGCTGAACGTGTGCAGCCCTGGCTGCTCTGTGTTCCCTTCCACTTGGCATTCAGCTTCAAGGTTTCAAATGGCTTTTTAATCTGTTTTTGCTTTTCCTATTTTAAAAGCACCTCGATAATTGCTGTTGGGATTGTTTTGCTGGGGAGCTGCCATTAGTCCAAGGATGGAGCGTGTCAAGGACTAACCACCTCTTACGTTGTTCCTTCCCCGCTCTGCTTGCCATGACAACAACCAGTATATGGGAAAGACGACTGGGGGATCTCTCTGAGTCAAAAACACTGGCCATGAATTGTCAAGTTTCCACATTTGGTTTTTACAGCTATAGTTTGAGGGGAAAGGGAATGCTTTCTCTGTGGGAGCCATGCATAGTAGTTCAACGTAGCTGAAGCAAATGAGCTACCAGCTGGTGTTGAGACAATGTGTTTCTGGCCATTACTGAATTGGACAGCAAAGGCCCTGGACTATCAGCTGGAGTGCTTTGACAGTGACACAGAATGGCAGATAACCTCTGCAGATGCCTGAAGTTCATTTGTAAAATAAAACTTAGCAGCAGTTGCTCTTCTCTCCTTCCTACCCCTCCCAGAAGATGTTTCCTTCCAGGGAAGAGGGCTGGTGGCAGCGATGTCTCACCAGCCTACCTCTCCTATTTCTTCCTGCCACCACTCCCATCACTTTGTTCCCCTGCGCGATGAAGACTGCTCTTCCAATCTTAATACCTTGTTTCCACAGGTGGGTGTGATTGATGGAGAGTTCAGGGAAGTTTTTTTGAAGGGCCAATGCTGCAATCAAATAATGAGACTTTCAGCAGGCACAAGATGGCAGGTGATGGGTAAGCATCATGTGGAAAACTTTTATCTTGAGCTGCTCATTCAAATTCCCTCCTGACCATTGCCTCTTTTTAGCAGTATATTCAGGTAGCGCTAGAAATGCCTGCGATGCTCGAGAGGCACGAGCTGAAGATCTTGCCATGTAGCTCCGTAGCGGTGCAGACGGGAACACAATGCGTGCTGCCTGCCAGTGACGTGTGGCAGCGCACACCGGCAGCCATGCACATCCTCGTACACCCCTGCCCTGCACCTTTCTCCCCGCAGAAATGTTCCTCTCCTTATCTGCATAGCAAAAACATGAAAGGAGACAGCCCAGCCCCACGGTTGGTGTAACACGCTGCTGCTGGCCTGTGCCCCGTTGTTGAGCGGTCCCTGGAGACGCCCACGCAGCATCCAAGGGTGTTGCTCTGATCACTGCCTGGGAGCTGCATCTTTGAGGGACAAATTCAAATCCCCTCAAGTAGGAGGGCTGTACACATCTATCTCTGTGCTTTGCAGAGGTTCTGTGGGTTTGTTTGAAGGTATCTGTTGCATTTCTTTTTCCTTCCACTGATTTCTGTCTGGCAGTGGAAACTGTTTGTAAAATCTTGGAGAGATTATTGCTCTTGTTTTCCCTGTCTGGAATGAGTGGCTCTACATGGTGTATTCTTATTTTGCCAGGAAGGATGGATTGTGGTTTTAAAGTATTTTTGTTGGGGACTGTATCAGTTTAACAGCAACTATTGTGCTCTGAGCCCTCTCTCAAACCCCAGCTAGATACCATTTCCTACCAGGTGCTTCCCTATTATTCTGTAGTTGACCGAATGCAGCAAACAAGTATCACCGCCTCCCCTTCTCATCAACTCTCCTACCAGCCTAATCACTGTAAGTGGTTATTATCTGGAGCTGGAGACTTGCTGC